TAACTGACAACGCAATGGCTAAAAATGAAACAATCAAACAGACAAAACACTGTACACGAAACACAACATTTAAAAATAAATACTGAGCAATTCGAACCCATCCAAGACAAGAGGGGATCTCAGATGCTCCGTAAAGGTAGGCAGATCCTGCTACACATGTGGTACCCATCATGTTGCTCATCTCAATAAAACCCAGGATTCAGTTAAACGAGGCAAGTCATATTCAGGGAAAAGGGGGCTAGATAATAGTTACTTAGATTGAAACATATCCGTCATCTTCTGTGAAAATTTTACGTTCGGAAATTATTTAAGCATGTTTATTTTTATTTTATATCTTATATGAGTAGTTCAAAACTTTCTATGTTTATCAGTATATAAAAGGAATTTCGGAAATCATATCTATTCTAGTTTTTTAATTGCTTTTGCATTAAGGAATAATAATTTTTCAGTTGATTCAATGTTGATGGTATCTCTCCGAGTACTCTTGGTTCCACCTTCATGTAATATTCAGCTGCAACCATACTAAACATGTCTCAATCAATCAGTTGTTTTATCTTTAGACAATATTGCAAATTGTGGAAAACTATCTTTTCGGAGTCATATTCAGTACTTGTTGAGTATCTCTGTTTAATCTTAAATATTTCTTTAGTATATATCTACCGTGAACAATCTCATTGTCAACTATCTTATTATTTTTGGATTTTCAAAAGTGACTTAAATTAGGGAGCTATACAGTATACACAATTTCTAATATATTTTTTTTTACATAATTGAATTTCGGTTACCTTTTTTTTAATTTGTTAACTAAACTTCACTTTTATGATTTGTTGATTTCGGTGTATGACGCCCTACTTATGTAGTCGTAGCAATTCTACACTTAACTTTCCAAAAAAGAGGTTTAAAACTACAAGAATGTCACCTGTGCCGCTAGAGTTACGCGTGACAATTTGAATTTAGGATTGTGACAACAGTCTAAAATTTAAATGTAGTGGCGTAAGAAGTTATTTTAGGATTGGATCGAGAGCTTTAATATAGTAAGTTAATAAAATATGTTGTGCTATATTGTAACTGATTTTTAGTAATTTCAAGTTAAAATACTTTTATAAATAATGTTCTTAAATCATTGACACAACGGTAAAAAGTAGCAGTGAAGAAAGTTATGTTGAAATGAAAAAAAGTTAAATAGAGAAATTAATAATTGTATTGCATTACATTGTCTGCTACTTAATTAACAGTATTGTATGATTGTATGAATAGATGAGCATGTTGATCTGTGTATATTTACTTCTTTTTGTTTTTCCATTTGATAAATCAAAAACGAAAAAACAAGCGATGAAAATGTTTTCGTTGGTCGTTATGATATATCACAACAAATATGAACAACGGAAGTGATTTCGTGTTTTCGTTTTGGTGTTACAAGATACAAACGAAAAATGATATTTGAATACCTTTTTTTTTATATTTTTTTTAAATATTATTCATTTAAAAAGTGAACGATATTTTCATGCTTTTGTTTCAAAGGTATCAATTTTAAAATATTTTATCGTAGTTTGTTTTTACAAACGCTTACTAAACACATGAAGACAAACTATACCGACTGACTTATCAATTCAAATGAAGTTTTATATAACAGAAATTTTCAATTTATCTAGTTGTTTTTTTTTATCTTGAATAAGAACTATGATGTTTAAATACGAGAACTAAATGTATTTTCAATTTATAGTTAACAACAGGATATTCTTCAAGGGGTTGGTAAAAAATGTTCAAGTATGTAGATCGTAGACCGTTTACAATAGTATAATATAATAATCAAAGATGAAAATGGACAAATGCAGCAGATTCTTATGATTGTTCTGTATCAATAATCTTTTAATAAATGGTCAAAAGTAATGTGATTAGAGTTAACTAACGTCCATCAGCCAATAAAACAATAACTCATTAGATTCCGTAAGTTCACAATTCGGCTGACACAAATTCAGATAGAGCAGACCATCTTAAAACTCACAAAATGACAGTCCAAAAAAAAAAATATGCATAAACATGTTGGCACATTATTCACGCTCCTTTTCTTTATTGACAAAAAAAAAGAATATGCCGCATGATAAATAATTCTATTAAAAACCAAGAACCCAAATATTGTGGGAATTATTGTGAATGTAAAATATATTGTTATTTTGCTTTTGAAATTTCAGCTGATTTGAATTTATTGTATTCTTGTTTTTGTATAAACAATCGTATGGCAGCAATACATTTGTGCTAATAATACAGTAAAATCAACCATAAGATTATATATAGCATGCCCTTTAGTAATCAGCGTATTAAATGCAAGAAAAACATAGATTGACGTGCATCTATAATGTTAAAGATTAAGGCGTGGATTCATGTAGAGGGCATGGATATTTAAACGGTAACATGTTTCGATAACCAAATTTTTAGATTATTTTTCTTCGATTTTTTTCTGTTTACTTTTATAACTCAGAATTGATTGTTTGGCGTGAAATTAAAAGAATTGTAGTTGAAAATTGCAGCTTTTGTTGTCTTCATCTTTATAAACTGTCAATATTTTTCATTAAGTTAGTTTTATATGTAAGGGCAAAACAATTTTGTTCCTTTGCCACCCCTGGATTAAACGTTTTTCACACATTTTAAGTTCTATACGTCTAAAATTACCAATACTTTTGTCATTAGTTATAAGAAGCGTCATTACTTCTTTTTTTAATTAAGTTTGTACTTGCAGGATATCTGAGTACTGTCATTACCTCAGGATGTTTTTTTTTACACAAAAGGGGAGGAATTCAAGTTTAAAATTGCAACATTTCTTAACTGCATCATTATAAACTGCCGATATTTTCGCTTGTGTTAGGATATCAAGTAAAAGTATACTCATTCTTTGATACCTTCGGATTGATAGCTTTACACAAATTGAGAGTTCTATAAGTCTACAAAAATGCATACTTGTTTTTCATTATCTATTTAAGGTGTCAATAAATCCTTTTTTATTATATTCCTGTACATGATTGATAGATGACTACTTTTATTACCTCATGTTTGAGTTTTTTTTCACACAAAAGGAAAGGAATTCAAGTTTAACATTTGTTTTCTGCATCATTATATGTTGCACTTTGTACATACAACTGTTTCTTAAACCACGCCTCTTTTGGGGAGATACATGTTTATAATATTCGTAGATAATTAATTTTGTTTACGTACTGGTTCTTAGATATGATCTCTATGTTTCATCTCCTAGAGACATATCTTGGAAATGTTACCAGTAAATAAACATGTGCATTTCTGTCAAATTTAAATCTGTGGGCACCCTAAAGCCAAGGTAAGGGTAGTACAGCATTTAGTGTAAGTTTAAACTCTTAGAAGTTCGGGTCATATAAACGTTGAAAATATGCCGCACAACTCTATATTTAGACCTTTGAAAAAAAAAGTTGTGCATATGAACTTTCCAATCTTGGATATGATTTTTTTCAAAAACTTCATAGTAAAAGAGGGGCGAAAGATACCAAAGGGACAGTCAAACTCATATATCGAAAATAAACTGACAACGCCATGGCTAAAAATGAAAAAGACAAACAGACAAATAACATTACACTAAACACTAACGACTAAGCAACACAAACCCTACCAAAACCTGGGGGTGATCTAAGGTGGTCCGGAAGGGTAAGCAGATTATGCTCCACATGTGGCACCCATTGTGTTGCTCATGTTATTACAAATCCGGTAAATAGTCTAATTTGGTAGGTCACATTCGTGAAACGGGAAGGGGGATTGTAGTTATGACATAAGAAACACATCCGATATCATCTGTAAAAACGGTTATTCCATAACGATCAACCAACTCGTAAAATTCACAAAGGGATGATTTCAACTGCACCAGTTTTTGCCGTAAAAATAGAAAGTTTAAGTAATCAATGTTTAAATCAATACACACGGTTAAGTCATCTGCTAGCAATTCGTATCATTTGATTTAGGTGTTTAAAATTTTTGGCGACCCCAACGTTTAAATGGCTATATGTCAGCTAGTCGTTTCAGACGAACGTTTACATAATCTGACTCAGTCAATAGATAAACTGAGCGCGCCAAGAAATGGCCATGTCTACGCTGTTATTAAAATGATTCTAGTGAATTCATACATCATACTTGTATCGTCATACATACAATTTTTGCAAATATGGCTTTGTTAAAACACTTCTAGTTCATATATTAGCTAAACTGTGTTAAATTTATGGTTAGGGATGATTCTGTTGTGACAAGATTCCTAAACGGACAATTTGATGCTGAAATTGTGAACTTTCATTGACAAATGGGCATACAGTAAGATATGGACTGGAAACAGAGGCATGATTGGATACTTTACCCATCTTGAATGTTGGAATGATTAACTGCTAAACATTACATTTATAGTATTCTGAAATGCTTTCAATTTGTTACCAGAATAGTTTGAAACAGGTTCTAGACAATTCATGTCAGATGCACATAGGGTAAGCTGGCAATAATTAAAGTCTTGTTTTGAAATTTTTAAACAAAATTAAAACAGTGGTGGGGGTATAACATGTACTGTAAAAGAAAGCTTAGAGTATATGCAGTGATTTTTTTAGTCTACAATTCCGATAAATAAGTATTGCTGTGAGTACAAGTGCTTGAGAGAGTTTTCTATTTGAATAAATGTTTGTGTAATTGTTAATAGCAATAGTCTGTGTTATAATTAACGTTGTAGTGGTATCTTCCTGACTATTGGATTAAGTCTTCGTTATTTCTGTCACAAAGAAATGTAGAACAGTAAAACGTCCTATTGAAGGCCTACCTATTATTGCGTATTGCTTGATTTTATAGAAAGGATATTATTTGGATGTTTTAATTTATGTTTAACGATAATTTATCTTTCTGAATATCATCTATTGAAAAAAGAATATATAAAACGAAAATATGTGGCTACAACAATCACATTTAGAATAATATTTAATGCATTGATAATTTGTATGTAGATTTTCCACTACAAAAGAAACAGAGCAGACAAACAACATGTATGGGCGAATGCTGATGACCTTTGTAAAAAAATATACTGGTAAAGTGTAACTAATTTTCGTGAACAGAAAGAAAAATAAAAAATCGCAAAATAAACTTGGAAAGAAAAAAATATTGAAACTATATGTCGTTAGTTTTATAGGTGACGTCCGTGCACGTTCTTCTGTACTGTTGTTATTTATATAAGTGACCTAATTACATAAAATGTTTCTTTCTCTAGTTGCATTGGACATGTATTATACGTTAGATTTTGATCTAGAACTTTCATTGCATTTAATCATTATCGAAATGAAAATACACACAGTCCGTATTAAGTGCTAAAGGGATAAGAGGTCCGTTTGCATTCCATTTGAAATTGGAAATTAGTTGACACCATAAAATTCAATTAATTTCAACTGGCTTGTAATGGAATACTTCTTTTCATAAAAAAATGCATCTTATATTTTAAGTAGTAAAAATCTAACACAAGTACATTTACATTTTGTATATGTGTTTTTTTGTAGAAATATCAAAATCAGTACAGTATTACCTACCACTATCTGACTATTTGTACGATATATATTGTATACAGTTATATATAAATATGTTTGAATGCGTTGGTAAGTTAGCTATCCTACAAAATTGTGACTACTGTCACTTTTTGACCTTTTAGCCTGTAATGTCTGTTTGGGTTTTTTATACGTTGTTGTCAGATGGAATTTTAAGCGACTATCAAACAAGTGATATGTTTTGCTAGTTATACAACCAACCAGGTTTAATGCACCATCTTCTACATAAGGAAATGGATGTTCCAAGTTAGACATATGACAGTTGTTTTCCATTCGTTTTATGTGTTTGAACTTTATATAATGTCATTTGATATTTTGTTTTTGTTGTTATTTGCCTTTTGACATCGAAGATTATAGTTAGTCGTGTCGGTTCTTGTGAACTTTTTAACATGTATTTCCTTAGTTGAAATGTGTTTAGTTATTAACTTTTTGCATATGTTTTAAATTATTAATTTCAATTTCAAATATTTATTTGTTTATAAATTTCTGTCGTTTAACACAGCTATATAGAATGAACAGGGAATCAACACTCTCCAGTTAAACCATTAAGAGGTTATGCATATTATTTATGTGTCTTTTTTTGATTTATTCTCTACCAAACTGAAAATGTTTGTATTTTTGATAATCCCTAAAACATTTTATGGAATTTGGTGAATAATTATTAAAAAAGTGAGTGTGATTATGTAAAATAACTGGTCATTTTCACGGATTATGTATATTCACTAATGATTTAAGTGATTATGCAAAAGCCCTCAAAAGTCTGGGATTCTATATTTTAGAAATTCACAGTAACAGATACAAGTATCTTGTCTTCATGAAGAATAAATTGTACTTAGAAGAAAATAACAGTAATACATGTATACTAAAAAACATATCTGAAACCCATATTTTAAATATGCTTGATTCTTTAATTGACAATATATTGATAACTTTTGGAGGACGTGTTTAACGTTTAATCTTCATACCAAATTGTTCTATTATTTATCATATTTATATGATGAATATTTCATACTGAAGTTCTTATGAAGAATGAAAAGAAGCTAACATTATATTTCAACGTCACTTTCTCCTAAATAAAGGGTTTCTGCTCACAAGCAAAACTAATCTACCTTGGGTTCCAAGTGGTGAGGTTGAAATCGTTCCTTCACGAGTTGATTGACTGTCATGAAATATCTGTTTCACAGATGACGACGGATATGATCTAATTGTCTTTACTGCAATCCTCTCCTCTTTCCCTCGAACTTTACCTACCGAAGTAAAAATACCACCCTGGTTGTACGTACATGAACAACATGTGGAGCAGATTTTTGTTTTTGCCATGACGTTGACAGTTTATTTTTAACTTATGAGTTTATATGTCCTTTTTGATATATTTCGCCTATCTTTTATAAGGAAGGACCATTGTGGAATTTTTTTTTATTTGCAGATCCCGGCTTTGTAAAACAAACACGTTCTCTTTTCTTTGTTGCATGTACCTTTGCTGCATGGCAATGTCAACAAGCAGTGCCTTTATTAAATGACCATAGATGGTTTGATTCAGTGAAGCGTAAATATGAAGCACGGTATATGATTAAATTAAAATTATATTCCAAATGGAATAACTATTTTGAATACTTTCTTTCATTTTTTCAAAAATATAATATTTGAAATTTGATGACTCAAAACCCATTAATGACAACATAAATTTTATATGAAAATAAATAAAAAAATATTTTCATTTTTTTTTAAATCAGACTATTATTAAAAGTGTTCATTCAACTACATAATCATAATCCGTTATCATAAAACAGTATTTCCAACTAAAGTTAAATGCGACATTTAAATTGCAAAAGTATAGTTTTACCATCTTGCCTTAATAGTGCATTATTATATTGCTTTAATTGCTAATTTTAAACTTCCATTACAGATGTCAGGTTCAAAACAACAATTTAAAGAAAAACACGTCTTCTAAAGTTGGTGTAAGTAAAATGTGTAATTTTAAAGTCATACGATAACCTGAAATAACGTTTTGTAACATTATGCAATGTATCTCTCAACAGCTGGGGTTATTATAATTCTATATCTAATGTCTGCATTTTAAAACGTATCACCGATTATAAGGAAAACGATGAGAGTGGTCTCATTGGCACTCATTTTGCACATCTTCTTAAATCTATACACTACACAAAGAATTAACAGTGAATCACATCGAATGCCACATCAACACTTAACCCGTTTAATGTGAACGCGGGCACAACATATGTATGATATGGTGATATTACACCTTGATAGCAATATGGTGTACTAGAAGTAGATATAAGATATCCCTTTTATTCGTTTAATCATAAAATATATTTCGTTTTAGAAAAATACAAAAAAAGGACAGGACGATGAAAAAGATGAATCAAATATAATAAACCCTTCTGAAAATGAGATAAGAATAGTTGTCATCGGAGCTAATGAACACGCTAAAAGTACAACAGCAAGTATGCTACTATTGAAAGACAACATAACGTGGTGTCATAACAAAGAAACTAAATTGAAAACATTATACCAACAAATAGATTCCCACAAGTACAAGATTGATATCATTGACACATCGCCTGTGTTTGAATACCCTCCAAGATTAGATGATGAAAAAAAACTTGAAATCCATAACGCTACAGCACTTTCGTGTCCAGGGCCACATGCTGTTATTTTGTGCATTCCAACAACAAATATAGACAACGAACACTTAAAAGATGTTATAAAGCCTTACGAAAACATATTTGGTAATGAAATCTATGATTTTGTTATTGTTGCATTTACCCATTATGAGAAGTTTGATTCAGACGATACAGGAAAATCGAGATTAGACGAAGAGCACAAGAAAGACCGATTCTACATCGGTCTTGAAAATGCCATAAAAAAGAACAATGTCATGGCGAAAATCAAGAACGTCAGGAATAATCATATTTTGGTTAACACCCAAATAGAATCTAATGACAAATTTGAAATATTGAACCAAGTCTTGGCCATTATTCGTGAAAGGGAAAGCATGACAGAACATAAACAACTATCGTTCGCTCGGTCAGATTTGTCGAAACAGGCGGAAACGCTATTACAGGAGATCATAAAAAGACCAGAACCCGAAAATAAAAATACAGCAGTAACAGGACATCCGGTCAGAAGGACGGACAAGAAACCAAAAGCAAACAGTCATAAAAGCTCCATAGGAAAGACAAAAGACACGACGCCGGACAAGAACTCAAAAGCTGGCGTCAATGTAAGTTCAAAAGATACAACGCCAAAGGACACGAGCACACGCGCAAATGAAATTAAGAGAGATACAGTAAAGAAGAGCAAACATTTTCTTGATGAGTTTGCAAAGCAAACGCGGCAATAGTGTCATAAAGTGAAAGAGAATAAATACGATATTTTGGGCGGTTCATAACTGACGGAAGAACCATTAATGTTTACTTGTTAACAAGTATGAATATAATTACAAACCAATCATTTAGTTTACTAATTAAAGGTTTTCAATCTCTTTTTTCTATGAATTATCATTGTGTACTACAAAAGGTATGAAACATTGTAACCTTTGTAAAACAAATCAACCCTTTCTTCTAGAAAAATGGATTACATGTAGAGTTAGGTGCAGACCAAGCATTAAATAAAGTAAACGCACGTTAACGCCAAGTGCACATATTTCGTAAGTTAACTCTAATTTTTGCGTTTACTATAATTACGTTAACGCGGATAAAATGGAAATTTCTAATGTCTATCCGAGTAAACGCGCGTTTACTCTGTGTCCGTTTAGTACTTCAGATTTCACAAATGTATTTTAACGTGCACTTGAAAGTAAATGCGCGTTTACTTTTCGCGTTAACTGGTTGTGTAAATTATACAATAAACGTCTGCTCATTGGTCGGGCTGTTGTCTCTTTGACAAATTCACTATTTCCATTCTCTATTTTATTCCTGTACATCTGTACATTTTTATCTTATTTTGTTACAACGACTTTTGTCTTTTAATATTTTACGTATATGTGTTTAAAACCGTAACAATTCAACAACAATTTTAATTCGAATTATTAACTTTTATTACTTGCTTAAAGCAGTTCCAATAATTTTAGATAACGTGTATTCTATATATTCTTTCAAAAGTTACATGTACAATTATCGACTCACAAAAATGTAATGGTTTTTCCAGATCTTCTTCAACTTGTCCTCTCACGAATGTAAATTGAAAGTCTTGTAGATTTTACAGTTCCAGAATAAATATCCATTTTGTTCTCATAATATATTTTCCAGTAATATCAAATAATTCAAGTCGCGATCGTACATACATGTATTGTATATAAAAATGTTATAAGTTTTGATCGGTTTCAAAAGGAAGCATTACTCTTAAAAACTTGGTTATAGATAAAATTGATAAACAATGTCAATAACGAATAGTAATTAGATCGTATGAAAAAATCATGATAAATGAAAGCAATATTGGTGTACAATTACTGATATTTATCCTGTATATGGTCAGCTTACTAATTTTTGTTTTCTGCAGAAATAAACAGTGAAAGGATGTTATTTTTTTTCATCGAAAAATTAAGATATCACCAAAATCCAGCACTTTTCACACCACAGACTGGCTCAAATATAATACAAATTATTTAACCGCATCAACAAAAACTGACCATATTGAGAGAGCCAGTATGTCCTCTTTAAATTGAAAATATCAAATCGTATCTCAGGCCGACTCGAATAATAAAATTTTTTGACCGCATCAACCAAAACTGACCGCATTTTCACTCTCTTGTGTCAATATTTATAGTTGCATAGTAAATCAGAACTATTGTTATGTCAGGATGGATTGTTTAATAAATATGACAGCAGTTTTGGAACACAATGACTACAAAATTTTGTCCGCATCAATTAAAAGTGTCAGCATGATGTGGAAAACATGTTGTAGCCATTGTGTTTTAATATTGCTGGCAAACATTCGTTGAAAACAACTCATGTATTGCTATTTTTACCGATGCGTTGGATAACCTTTCTGTCTGCCTTCTAATTAAAAAAAAACTTTCCTCTCTTTCATGATAGCTGCATGTGATCACAGGTGTGTAACTTTTACCATTATTTAATATATAAAAGAATATGAAATGAAAAATCACTTTTTTTAAATGACTATATAATCTATAACGAGTCTGAGTATATAGTAATTTGCTATACTGGGAAATAAGAACAATGTGATTATTGATTACATAATAAAAGTTCAGGACTGGTTCATAGCAGACTTGTCCACATGTCTGGTATGGATCAGACTTGCCAAAAGGTCTGAAGCAGTCCTAAAAAAGCAGACCTAGGTCTGGTCTGGTATCAGTATATATATCAATGTAGATGTTCCTAGTTTAGTCTACCAACGCCGACATACATTAACTTGCCTGTTTGTTTAAAATGTTTCGAGTTAACTTGGAAAGCAGTCTAAAAGTCTGCTTCAAGTTAACTTTTGTACAGGTTAGGACTGCAACTGTCCCATCTGTACAGTCTATAATTAATGTTCAATTAATTCAAGAGGTGAAATATCATTAACTGTAGTCGTCAATATGTCAATAAAATACTGTTGGTCATTTTGATGTACTTTCTCATGTGATATGTTAGGTCAGCGATGACAATCTGCGTTAACCCGTATAGCCTCCAATATATTTTTATATTAATATTGTTTAATGTATATTCAAGTGTTAAAAAAATTGTTTATTGATGCGAAACTGATTTTTACTAATTCACTGTAAACGCGTCTTTGTTATCATAACGTTTATGCGGTCAAAATGCTGATGTCTATCTGAGAAAAAAGCGCACGTTGCCTTTTTGTCCGTCTAGTCAGTAGTTTCTGCCATGCGTTTACCTCATAAATCGCTTACGTGCAAATGAAAGTAACTTTAGATTTACAGTTTCCGCATTAAACTTTTGAAAATAATGAATAATTGATTAACGTGCCATTTATCGTTCATACTGTAATAGTAATATACATTGAATGTTTACTTAACTTTGAATTGTATTCGGCAAAATTCTTTTTTTTTTTTTTTTTTGCATTTTAACATATTTTTATTCGAGTGTCTCTGATCATTTTTATAAAGACCAAGTCTGGTAACATTAATGAGTTATTTTATATGTGTTAATCATTCAGTTTTCAAACGTGTCATGTTTTTAACCTTATATGTCTGTATATGATATGAATATGTAGTAAAAATTAATAAAACGATTTTTTTGTTAGCAAAAGCTTTGTTTATATATTCCCCAAGTACTAACAAGCACAAGCAAGAAAAGGTTGTTGTGATCATAAACGTATTTGTCATTTGGTTTCTAGAGGATGATCCCCTATTGCAACAATACGAATTTTCTACGTATATGATAATGCTCATATTTGATAATCCTAATTGATCTACCAGAAACACTGTATTACTAGGCCGGTACATAATTCACAAGAACAAGAGAACTTATCAAGCCTTTGATAGATGCTGAAAAAAAAATCATAAACTGTTAATATAACTATCATTGTATACAAAAAATTATCTTCAATGAGCTACAACAATTACTACATTATATAAGAAAAAGATAGAAATGTAAATCTTCGATTTGAAAAACAACAAAAAAAAAACAAAACGAAAACAATGGAGAAATTCGAAAATTATATTTATTCCATTTTATCCAAAAAAGTTCATGAAGAGGAACCAGAAGTTAATAGTTAAAAAAAGTACCAGGCTTATAATTTGATACGCCAGACACGCGTTTCGTCTACATAAAACTCATCAGTGACGCTCAGATCAAAATAATTAGAAATCCAAACAAGTTTAAAGTTGAAGAGTATACAGGAACCAAAATTCAAAAAAAGTTGTGCCAAGTATGGCTAAGGTTATCTATGCCTGGGATAAAAAAAAATCTTTAGTATTTCGAACAATTCATACATTTACCAACAGTTAATTTATAAAAATAACCATATAATTGATATTCCTGTCAACACAGAAGTGCTGACTCCTGGGCTGGTGAAACCCTCGGGGACGAAACGTTCACCAGAAATGGCATCGGCCCATTGTTGTAAACAGTTATCAAAGGTACCAGGCTTATAGTTAAAATTTTAGCGAATGCTCAGTTATCATATTTACAGAAATGTAATCCCGGTTCATACTATGTTAAGACTAAAAGAGGAAATAGACACCCTTTCTATAATATAGACATACATCCGAGCAACTGTACACACATATTATGTAATTAAGGCGAATGTTGTTTACCGATGTTAAAATTGTTAAAATAATTAAAAATCGACAACTCAAAGATTAAAAAAAAAAATGAGCGCATTTCATGAGCTCTACAGGAAAGACCATATATGCTTCGATATTGGTATTCATCCCCTGTTGTGCATTCATCGTTAGGCATGTACATCTAATTTCAGTCAATATAGAACATTGAAAATTACAGATCGGACGACAACTACCAAGAGTGATGAGTTACGATATAGATACACACCAAAGTACTGTAATGTTTGTGGGTCACTTTAGTTAAATCTGTTATCTACAATGTATTTCATGTTTAGTAATAAGTTGCTATTTCAGAAAGATTGATTATCATAATGTTATTACTGACCGAATTTGTCATTCAGAAAATCTACTCAGAAAAATCCAGCAGCAGTGGCATCGTCCCAGCGGCTGTAAATTAAGTCTACATTAATACCAGGATTAGAATTGTAGACAGACCCGCGTTTCGTCGACATCAGTGAATATGGAGTCCAACAAGTTAAAAACGCCAACTAAAGTAAAGTTAAGGAGCATTGCAAGTAGATTTTTGAACAGTTTTGCTCTTCAACTTTGTACTTGTTTGGCTTAAGAACTTTTTTGGTCTGAGCGTCACTGATGAGTTTAATGTAGACGAAACGCGCGTCTGGCGTATTAAATTATAATCCTGGTACCCTTGATAACTAATTGAAACATATAGCAAAGGTAATTTACTCATGAGATAGAAAGTCCTAAGTATTGTAAAAAAATCAAAGTTTTTAAGAAATTAATTTATAACTGGGATAAGAGCAATAATGTTTTATAATACGTGATGTAACTGTTTACCGTCTTATGGCGTTCACGCTTGTGCATGTTCACGTTATACAGACTTCATTAACACGGGCATGCGTCTTGCACATACGGCTCATACAGATAAATGAGGAAGGACACTTCCTATGTTTCAATGACACTATCACGAATTAGTTGACTAATACAAAGTGTCTTTGCATAAGCTTCCTAGCAACATGTGTTTATGGAATAATATATTAGTACGTGACCAGTGGTGCATGTATGATATGTAAATTGATCTTGAGTCCGTTTCTAAATTTGTGACCTTTTAACAGAGTGGAATCGCGTGACAGGTGATGCATGCATATATTGTAGAAGAAAACGTTGACATTTTTACCTATTCTATAATTGAGAATTGAAATGGGGAATGTGTCAAAGAGACAACAATTCAACCAAAGGGCAAAAAAACAACCGAAAGGCCACCAATAGGTCTTCAATACAGCGAGAAATTCAAATCACCAAACCGGAGGCGAGCTTCACCTGACCCCTAAACACACATGTTTACTAGTTCAGTGAAAATGGACGTAATATTAAACTCCGAAATATATAAATGAACGTAAATTAAAACTCATACAAGACTAACAAAGGTCAGAGGCTCCTGACTTGGAACAGGCGCAAACATGCGGCGGGATTGACCATGTTTTTGAGATCTCAATCCTCCCCCTTAAACCTCTAGCCAATGTAGAAAAAAAAAACACACTGAAATATTCACAGTAAAATTCAGTTCGAAAGAAGTCCACGTCCGATGTCAGAATTTGTAACAAAAGAAACTAAACAGAATGACAATGATACATATATTAAAAAAGGACTACTAGCAGTTACTGACATGCCAGCTCCAGACCTCAATTAAACTGATTGAAAGATAATGTCTTCATCATATGAATACCAAGTACAATCTTTCC